ATGTGTTATTTCATCATAAATATACATAGGGCCCTTAAACCCGCTGGGTGGTACAGAAAAAAATTTTAATTTAAAAATCATAAAAAAATTTTTACACCACAATAAAGGAAAAAAATCAAAAAAAAAGTTCAGAATAAGAAAAAAACCCCCAATGGCTTTTTTGATGTTTGATAAAGTTTGGGGGTGCCCTGATAAAGCAAATTTTATCAACATCCAATTTTTAAAAACAAAAATTTGGATAAACCCCCTTTTTTTGGAATTGGTGCATAAAATGATAAAAAATTTTGAAAATGTGAAAAAGAAATTGACTTTCCCACCAAAATTTATCTGTCCCCCGGGGTTTTTTCTTTTAGTGGGGTTTAAATTAATATTGCCCCCCTTTCCCCCCCCCCCCAGGGGGGTACATTTAGTAGAAATTGTAAACAAAAAATTTATTTAAACTTACAAATAACTTTCTGACTTTTCTTGATCCACTCCCAAACAACCATCTCATCAAACTCCCGGGGCCCTGATGCGTGGAAATAATGGACACCTGCTTCACCCTAGTTGTAAAATAATAGAAATTAAATTCTTTAGGTTTAAACCACATATTCTAAAACGAAATAAATGCGGTAGAGTATGTTGTGATTTTTTTCTAAAATTTTAAAACAAAAACTGAAATACCACCAAACAGGAGACTTGCACTATTCTTTATCAAGGTTTTCTTTTTTTTGAGGGAAAGGGGGGGTGGGGCGTGTTTATGTGGTAGTATTAATGTGACCTGATACTATAAGGTTATTATTAATATGACTTTCTAACTATAATAGTATAAGAAAGACCTCCATAAACTGAAATGGATTAATTCAAGCAAAACAGGTACATGAGTTCCCGTAAGCTCGCAAAACAGCTACATCATATAAATTAAAGAATATTTAGTTCCTGGCTGGATAAAAACTCATCTCTAGACCAAGACACAGTCTCAATAATTAAATTGGCCACTGCTAGTGTACCATCCAGAATTTGGCTGTGTCACAATTTTTCAATACTTCAACTTTTATATAAATTTAATAAATTTCACATTTACACACTTATCACTTCTTAACTATTAGTAACACATAACTATACCTGCAACAGCCTTCGCCAGAAGAGTTTTTCCCACACCTGGTGAACCTACTAACAGAACACCTGTAAAATATTCAAGATACATGAATAAAGTATATTGTAACATAAAGAAAATGGCATAACTTAACTGAATTATACTGAATTTTTTTTTTGTACAGAACATTGACAGAAGCATTTAAATTAAATTTAATTCTTAAGCGAAAACATGAAATATATCATTAAGCAATTAATTGCATTATTATTTATAAAGGATTTATTTACATACCTTTTGGTAGTTTAGCCCCAATGGCATTGAATTTTTCTCCATTTTTCAAGAATTCTACAATATCAGCTAATTCTTCCTTTGCCTCATCACACTGTCAAACAAAGATAAGAGATAAAATAAGTTTGTTTAAGTTAACAAAAGGGCCATAAATCAGACACAAAAAAACCATGCTACAGTTGAGGGCCTTAGGGTGACCTCCAATTATGATCCCAAAAACATGTACATATATAAAGTTTGAAGAGAATATATTCATTAGTTTTTGTAGATTGATATTGCATCTCTTATGTCAAACACATGTGAAGTTACAGGCAAATATCTTTTACAGCTGATGAAATATAAGTTGCACCAGATGAGTATTGTCAGTTAAGTGTAATAACTGGTTAACTCCTATTAAATTCAGAAGGACTAAACCTCTTACTGCACTAATGGGAGGATAAGTTGCCCAGGTGAGCAGCACAGTCTCATCAGTCTTATAATAGGCAAATTGGTGGAATCAGAGAAATTATCTTAACAGCACAATTACAGAAACTGAAAATACTATTAGAATGTTAAAGTTAAACATGGGCATAAAATGTTCAAAGATCAATTAAGAAATCACCTGTGCTTATGAAACAAGCTTTCATTTTACTTTATTTGGTGGTGGGGGGTGGGGGAGAATAAGAGGGGGGAGGGAGACCTGAACCAAAATGTCAACAAAGTATTCAACTATGAAAATCTAAAGTTAACTTACACCTTTCACGTCAGAAAAACTTCACTTTTACTTCTTCTGGATTCACCTCAAATCGTCCAGGAGTTACCATTGGGAATCCTGCATTCAAAATATATATGTGTAAATAAAAACATTAAAACAGAAGGAATTGATAGATCCCTTTTCTGACCTTCTACTTGAATATCAATAGATTTAACCATACACAATGACATGTTGCCATGTGTACTTTAGTAAACAAGCAGTTTGTGGTGAAAATTTTATTGTATGTGCACTAATCTGATATTTTGAAGACAGGTTCATATAGGGATGTATCCAGTACACAGAGACCTGCAGTAACTTATGACTGTCTTCTCATATATGCAGTACATACACATAATACAGTATATGTTCAACTTCAAACAAACAAGACAGCAGGGCCTCAGACAATTCTTCTCAAATCAAATCAAACATGTTGATCAAATTCACTCATCATGCAATAAATTATGTCAACGAGTGTCAAAACTCCAAATTTTTAATCGGAAATGGTGTTTTGAAACAAGGTTCTGTGACTGTTCTTTGAGTTTCCGGTCACATCGTGGAAACTCCGTTTCATTGCGTAGTAATTCTGTTTTTATTTTTAGAAACTATTTTTAAGTTGCATGAGTTATCGTTCATTACATTACACCTGTAATTTTCAGGTGAATACTAGGTGACCCTTTGATTGAAAATTGTATTTCCCAAAGCTGTCGATTTGCCGAAGAGAAGCACAAAAAGAAATCAACAGACTGGAACCCAGGCAAAGTGACACTCTGTATAGCAATAATCTCTTTACAACAACAGTATCGCTTCTTCCAAAAGGTAAGCTTTGCAAATATGTCAAATTTATCTTTTTGGATTGGGTTTTCATGTCACACCAACACAATATAGGTCATAAGGCAACTTTTAAGCTTTACTGTTGGAAGAAAAACCTCAGGTGCACCTAAGTAGAACCACTGACATATTGTAAGGTAGCTGGATAGCTTCATCACGTGACAGAATCCATAGATCCTGGCAAGAATCAAACCTACAGCAGTGAGGGGAAAGTGACTTGAAGTGAACAACCTTGACCACTTAGCCACGGATGCCCCTACAAATAAATTTAACCTCCTCTAGTACCTCCGTACAGCAACGTCTCTCAACAATAACAACAAAAAGTTTTTCTCTGCAAATACTATACTATATTAAGTGTGACCTACCTCCATTACCAGGTCCAACAGTCATATCTGACAACTGCCTGTACAAGAAATATGCCAGAAGAGCATACAAGAAGTATTTCAGAAATAACGAGCTTTTTTCCTTTGTGCTTTTGTTCTTTAACGCAGAACCTTTGTCCGCATTGCTTATTAAGCCTGCTATGTAAGCCATGTTTATTTTATCCTTCACTTCCTTAGATGCACCTTCATGTAAGTTGTTGACAAAGTCCTGAATAATACAACAACAAGTCAATTATGTTTCAAACAGTAACATAAAAATATGTTCTTAAAAGACACATTATGCTTCAGAAATCAATAATTTTCAAAATTGTTTACAAAGGTGAAACATTATGTTTAATAATGCTTTTAAACGAAAAAAAGAGCATGTTGGTTCTTTAACAACTAAAGAAAGTCGCACTGAATGTGCAGTTATATGTTATATATAGCAAAATGTAAACAAACTAGTATTTTGACTTCTATACAAAATACTGAATCACTATTATCATACCAATTGCCAAAGAGCAAAAGAAGTAAAAGACCAATAAATAAGGCCAATGAAATAACCTTTTGGAAACTGACAAGATTCCAAAAATATGAAGTTTTACAACAAGATCATTAAAAGGTGAGTAAGATGTCCAACTATCCATATTGTAGGGTTAAAATGAGTGACATCACCCCCATCATCCCTTCACAAGAGTTCATATCATCATATTTATATCATATTTATCAATATTTTTGAAAGTGAAAAATTGAAACTTCACTTGAAAAAAAGTCCTTTAGGAAAAACTTTTTTTACAGCAGACACAAAATTGTCTGATATCTAGACTTTGATCTACAAACATTATATACAATATTCAATCCTATAAACCTTATACAGTTTCTGTTTTGTTGTCGGTTTTTTATTGTGTACAAATAATAAAAAGTATACTTCATGTTATCTAAAGTTCCAAGTTTTCAGAATAAAACACTTTGTACTTACATCCCCAATTTTTGGTTTTTTATCCAATTCAAAGCTGGCAGTACCAAGCCCGGTTTTCCTCGTCTCTTTACGATACATACGTCTTTGTTCTACTGTATGAGCTGCAAAAACAATATCATACAATGTTAACTATTTACTGAAATTCAAATGATAACTTCATGAAAAAATTTCCCAACCCCAAAACAAGTGAAGGATAGCTAAAAATCTTCTCTTTTTTTAAATATATCTTAATAATCTTAATAAAAAATCAGCATAAATAGTCATGTGTGTGTAAATATGGAACCAGGACCACCTTTTCATGATTGTTGTTTAAATGGACATGGTCATGATTTCAAAACTGAAATTGTCGATAAACATTATTAACTTTATGACCTCGACACAGGAAAATTGTTCACTGTACATGCATATACAATTAAAAAGATGACAAATTTCTATCAAAACATACATGTTGACAGGGCTTTTTTTTCTTTCTATAGCAGGAGCCATTATAGGGCTGCTTCCCCAAAGAAAACTTCATTAAAATCATTAAGTTTTCCCAAAAAAATTGATTTACGTGATGTTTTTTCTCCCCCTTTTCCAAATATACCATGTATTTTTCCCCCTAAATTAAGGGCAGGGCTGCTTCCCCAACCTGTGAAAAAAGCCCTGGTTGATTTGAAAAAAATATATGTATATCTACCATGTATACAAAAAACATGTGTCCACTTTATGGCTGTATAATAAATTTAACAAATACCATTTGATTTACTTAAAACAAATATATTTATTCATAAATTTATAGATCTGTTATATATTTTTTTTTAATATAAACAGTTTCTTTAAAATCTTACCCTGTGAGAGGTTTTGACTCAATAACCTAACAACATCTGGTCTAAGAATTGAACAAAATCCAGCCGATGTTGGGATACTTAACAAGTGTTCATGAAACCCTGTTGAAAGACGAATCAGAAAACATATTAAACATTGTTTTTTTATTACATTAGCACATCTCCAGATGTGTTAAAAAGATCTTCACATTAGAAATGTATAAATACAATAGGGATTTCCCCACATTCCAGTGATTCCACTGATTTGTCCATCTAAGGACATATAGTGTGACAGACAAGAGCAGATCTATATACCAATACCTCTCCGACACTGTCCTAGCTGGAGGCATATAAATTGAACCAAAGAAAAAAGTTATATAATTATGTATAATATATTCACAATTCAAGAGACTTGTTGAATGCATTTTGATGATATGACAGAAATTGCTTATATTTTCCATTACCAAATTTTTAAGTGGTTTCTAATGTAGTAAGAGGAATTCCTGCTTATTCTGACAGATCATCAGTGATTTTTGCTGAAAACTAGTACAAATGTACCTTAGTCTAGATTAAATCACTTCATTTGTTAACTTGTAAACTTGAACATTGTATAGATAAAACACTTCATTTGTTAACTTGTAAATTTGAGTCTGAGCATTGTATTGAATAATTATCTTACCATTTTTGTTTTCAAAAAATGTTGAAGCTGATACATAATTTGACTTCCAATGGTTTTCTTCTGGAACACCAAAATAAACTGACAATTTTTTTAAACTATCTTCTTTCATAAGGATATCCCAGCATGATTCCATGTCAAGTTCTTTTACCTAGAACAAAAAATAAACATTACCTTCATTTTTTCGTACACCTCAAATTTATCACTATAAAGGAAAACATTTTAATTTAATTTTAAGTATGAGATAATATGCAAGACCAGGAGATACCCGGTATATCCCTCTCTTCTCTGAAAATGGAAAATATTTTTGGGATATATACAAACTAGCCATAACAAAGCAAATTGCAATGCCATATAACGTTTGTCTTTGAAAACCCATAAATAATCAAAATTAACACAAAACTGTTCAAAGGTTTTCCTACACTTTGTTCAGAAAGGAACCCTATATTTTCTTTTCATCTAAAATTTATTAAGCCTGCAAAAGATTCTACCCTTAACCACACCAGTGCAGACCAAGAACAGATGTGTGTCTCACAGTCTGTGCTGTCAAATCATGGTGACATCTCTGCACTGTTCCCTTTTGAGTCAGTATGAATTTTGAAAATTTTCCTTGACAATAATAAATTGTTTTGTCCAGATTGAAAAACAGACAAGTCTATTTAAGAAATATTACATGAAAAGGGTTAAACAAAGTTCTACAGACCAACCATGGGTTAATAAGAGGTTTTTCAATTTTTCAAAAGAAATGATGCTATACAGCAAATAGGAAGTAAAATTGCTGATGCATAGTTTTAATTAACTATGTCAATAAAGATGTGACTGAACCTTATGTCAGTTCCGTGGAACAGTGTTGTAAATACTCACTTCTGAGTCAACTTCTTTTGACTTAACCTCATTGTGCGACCCTTCAGTGACTTCTGACCTTGGTTTCTTGAAAATGTCTCTGACTCCCCCCCCTCTAGTATAAACACTATAAATTTCCCTTCCTTTTTGGGCCCGAAAAATAAATTGATAAATGATTGACAGGGCCCGGCAACCCAAAATTTTTAAAAAGGGGGAATTTTAATCCCATATTAGAAAGGGAAATTTTTCAAAAACAAATAAAAAATTTTTCATTTTCGTTAAAAAGTTTTTTTCGTGTTTATTTCTTCGGGGAACGGTCTGGGGGGTTTTTTTATTTGGAAAAAAAAATAATGTGGGTTAAAAATTTTGGGTAAAAAAAAAATTTATTACATATATTTGTTGCTTTATCTAGTGTTTATAATTATTTCAGTTGTAATTAAGAAATCTATATCTGAATTGTTGTTTGATTTTAAAATACATTTTAACTATTACTTGTCAAAAAAAGTTATCTCAAGCTCACATTTCCAGAATTTAAATATTCAAGAGAGAGATCGACTGGGCAAAAAAATTTATTTTCCATTGAAAGCGTTTGTTTACAGTACCAAAAACAAAGAAGGGAAAACTAAATAAAACTGAAGATAAAAAGTTAAAATATTCTATCACAGGTCTTGTTAATCCCCAAGCTGTTTATGTTGTACTGGGCTCTTAGTCTAGATCAGTCTGTTTAAACAATGATATTAATTTTTTGTTGTTGACTTCATAGTTCCATTGCCTGCTTTCATATGAAGTCAAAGACCATGCCTTTAGGGCATATCTTGCCTAGCTTTAGGTAACATGACTGTGTATCTTTAAGCACTAATAACTGCCTCCAGGCGGATTAAATTTATACTGGCCAGTTGTTAACTACTGTGTATGACACCTTCACTCAGGAAGCCACAGGGGGTAAACAATTAATCTTTTAATTGATAAAAATTATTGCCGATAATTTATTGTTGGAAGGGACACGTAGATATACCAATCAAAGGATTAGTGTGACCACTGCAATGCTGTTAGGGGATAATCGTTCGCGATTAGCGTTTTAGACTAGTTTATAAAAACTTAACAATAAAATTATATAAAAATGTAAAATTTCTTGCTTCAAAGTAGATTATTTTCCTTTTTTAATGGGACATAAATCATCTCTGGGACACCTCCGGGACAGACACCTTATTTCCGGGATTGTCCTGGCCATCCGGGACGCTATGGCATGTATGATGAAACTGTACTAGTGTAGATTAATTTAACTAAGGGTTTTTATCTGACTTATGCATTCCATTGGGTATTCTCCTAGCACACAAAGGGACTATTCTGGCCAGGGTTTTTCTGTGAGAATTTCTCTGATTATGCCATTTTATATTGAGAATTAAAAAAAAAAAAAAAATGGGGGGGGGGGGGGGGGAGATTTAATTTTTCATGATGGTATATTATGGTCAATTCTTACCATTGACCAAAAGTCTTGACATTGTATTTTCAGCTAATGCATGATAACTAAATAAGAACATATGAATTATAATAACAGGTGATCATCTTACAATTTATATGGTATATATCACTTGGCAGTTTGATATTTGAATTAAAATATTTAGCATTACATATGTTGGATATTAATTAAACAGGTAAAAGTATCTATTATTGAAATAAATAACAGAAATATTTTACTTGAGCTTTGTGTACATATCAATTGATATTGGGTGACATTTAATAGTATTTTAAGGAAAGAACCTGGCTGAATATGCCGAACTTGTTGCATATATACAGTATAGCCCCACCTTGTGTAAGAATGGACACTTTTCTTCTTTTTAAGTTATTTCGGGCCGGCTATTTCAATGATATTTCTATCAAAAATTGAGACCATCCCACTTTTTCAGGAAAAGAGTCAACTCGGCCCTATACCAACTCGGCACGGGTCAACTCGGCCCACTTTACAAAAATATATATAACGTATTTTAATTAGCTTTGCTTGGCATATTGTTTAGGTAAATTAATAATAAATTATATTACTATACATTGTACTTCTGCCGAAATAAAGTATATTTAAAAAAAAAAAGTTATTTATTTGTCTTGCAGATTCAATAAAATTAATATAGATCTAGTAAATATGTGCATCTGATGCATTTTGCTTGTAAAGTAATATTCAAAGAAATATGAAACAAAAACGTGTTTACTTAATATCATAAGCTTCTAATTAATTGCAGGTGGTCACTAATCAAATTTGAATGAATGAGTCAATCATAATAATTATCACCTAATTAATCGGTATCCTTAACATACACACTGATTGATAATAACTTAAATAATAGCCCGTCCTTAAATGTCTGTTTTCAATTAATTTTTATTTCAATCATTTTTATACAGATCTTATTTTCATAAAATTTTCAACATTATACAGACATTACCTTTTCCAGGTGGGGGGAAAATCCCGGGATCCCCTATAGAAAAGCCGGGATCCGGGATCGTATTAAACATATAGTAATCCCGGGAATTGACCACCTGCTATCGGTGTGATCGATAAATTATCGATTATCTCATGCCTTTTGTCAAGGATATGCTTGTGATATGAAATGCTGACAGGTTTAATGTTGTTTATTTACTTTTTTTGTCTTGATGGCTATTTGATGGCTATGATATATTTTTGTAATTTAATGATTTTCGCGCATACATACGTACAGTACTGTACAACAAATGTCTGGGGACACCACTTTGTTTGTTATGATAGAAGTTTAATATAAACACATAATAATAATAAGTAATACGAAAAAGTAAATGCAAATTGGTAAAGAAATCATTTATTGAAATATACATGCATTTTATACATGTATTTTTAAATGTATTAAATATACATGTATTTTCATATAACAGTAATGCAGGTGTCATTGGTAAATTATCGATTAGATCTAACCCCTGCATTTTTACAGAGATGTGTAATGTTATGTCAGATTTCTACAAGGAATTGTAAAGAAGAATTGTGTTTATTTTTCTGACGGAGTTGATTTTATTGTTGCGATGATTTCGAGATATTTGACTAAGATGACACGTGCCCTTTTACAATATTTAGAGTAGAGACATCTGTCTGGTGAAACGAAGTGTGAATGCTACGTAAAGTGAGATATTTAGTGTTTTTTTCCTCGCTCTTTTTTTATTAAAATACACTTTGTTTGATTTGTCACGGAACAAATGACCTTTTGTGTAAATTTCTGGTTTTCCTACTTAGATATAGATCTCCATAGTGATTTCCACTTGCCAAACATAATCCTACTTGTAATGTTCAAATTATTTTACTCCTATCAAAATATAAGTATATTATACCATTATTGATAAATCACAACAAACGCATCAATAATGCAGATTGTCAATTTCCCTATTAGATCATTACGATACTTGTACAATAGTTTAGACCGAATATCTTTGAACTCCCTTATCACATTCAGAAAAGTCGGGATCGTATTAGATACATGTATATAGAGATCCCGGGAATTGACCACTGCCATGTCACATTCAGATAAGCCGGGATCGTATTAAACAAGGAGAGAGATACGGGGAATTGACCGTCTGCTATAAATCACATTCAGAAAAAGCCGGGATCGTATTAGATATATATAGAGATACCGGGAATTGACCGCCTGCTATAAATCACATTCAGAAAAAGCCGGGATCGTATTAGATATATAGAGATACCGGGAATTGACCGTCTGCATAATAACATTCAGAAAAAGCCGGGATCGTATTAGATATATAGAGATACCGGGAATTGGACCGTCTGCTATAAATCACATTCAGAAAAAAGCCGGGATCGTATTAGATATATAGAGATACCGAGAATTGACCGTCTGCATAATAACATTCAGAAAAAGCCGGGATCGTATTAGATATATAGAGATACCGGGAATTGACCGTCTGCTATAAATCACATTCAGAAAAAGCCGGGATCGTATTAGATATATAGAGATCCTGGGAATTGACCGTCTGCATAATAACATTCAGAAAAAGCCGGATCGGATAAGATATAAAAAAAGCCGGATCGTATAAGATATAGAGAGATCCCGTGAATTGACCACTTCCATATCACATTTAGAAAAGCCGGGATCGTATTAGATTATATAGAGATCCCGGCTGTATCGCATTCAGAAAAGCTGGGATCGTATCAGACAATGTGTTAAGTGAAACACGGGATAGTTTAAAAAATAAATATAATAATGGATATATAAAGAAGGTCAATACAAGTTGGCAATCAATTCATTCTATTATTATATACATGCATTTAAAACATAAATCCGTTAGGTAGAAGTAGTTAATTTTGAACAAACACATATACAGACATAGAAGAAGAAGAAGAACTTTTATTTGCACTAAAGCCCTAAAGAGAGCCATTGACAAAGCATCAATATATATACATACAAAAAATAGAAAAATGGCGATACGTGACAAGAAGTCGAGATGGCATGTGTATTCACGGGAAATAATTCTTTGATAAATGTAAAAGTAGCTCATACAATTTAAGCTGATTAACTGTGCCATATAAAATTACCAAATCAAAGAGCTTCAGGGAACAATATTAAACGAAGAGTGGTTACACATGACATCTCGCTTGGGAGAAGCAGAATAATGTAAATATTACAATACGACAAAACATATTAATGTCTATATAATAATAATATGGTTAACGAGGTTGGATGCTCCTAGATAATATGTTGATTTTGCTCTTTCTTGGAAAGGGGCGCTATCCACAAATAATACATAGTGCTAAATATGATACATTCACCAACACATAAATGCCCCATTGAAAAACGAAAACGAAAATATAGAGCACATGATGGTGATCTGTACATAAGAACGGCATTATAAACAGAAAGATTAGGAGTCTCCATCAACGGAACCATTTTTAAAGGTATCTATGACTAGGTTATCATCAAAGTACTAACAATTATGCATACACCATAAAGCATTTTGTTTGACCAAAAAGATTAAAGTAGTCTTATAAAATGACATAGATATATCTACATATATTTTATCGAGTCACCGTTTTCATTTTAGATGAGTTAACC